TTTCTGGCCCTGTTCATGTCTCAGTGAGCTTTTGTTTTTTTTCTTTTTTTTCTTTTCCGGTGGATTTTCAGGAACCAAAAAACAAAGAGAACTGAAGACATGAAAACGCTACAGTAACGACATCTTCTCTTCAAGAAAGCTGTTATTTTTTGCCTCTTCCATTTGCAATTGTGAATATAAAGTCTTTGTATCATATTTTATGCTAATATTTTAGAGCAAGTAACATAGAACACATCCTCTCAATGACTACATATTATATTCAATACACTGCATGTGCTCCCATTTTAAAAAACAAACGCAATTGTAATTTTTAAATAAAGCTCAACCATTCATCGCTTTTTGAAATGCTGACTGTGTGCCTGTTCCACTGTCCATCGCTGCCAATAAAATCATGATTGGAATTATTATAAACTTATTAGTATCAAAGGAAGCAACTGAAGAAACATTAACATCTAAGATCATGTAGTTTTGTCAAAGGTAGGTTAAAATAGTTAAATAATACATAAGGAGTGCATCATCTTTTAGGGTTCCATCATAGATTTTATTCGCGGGATAACTTTCTGACAAAACAACAAAACTCACAGTTCAATCTAAATTCTGGTAATGCTGGTTTAACATGTTAACTGCTTTCCCACAGTTGAACTGGGATCTGTGCAGTAAAACCACGTAATAAAGTACAAATACTTTGTTACTCTACTTAAGTGGTTTAATTTTAGGTTTCTGTACTTTACTTGAGTAGTTTTTTTTCTGGCAACAAATTACACAAATATATGTACTTTCTGCTCCTAATAGTCTTAGAACAGGCTCATTACTTTAGTTTGAATGCATTTGAGTTGAATTGTTATAATTATTATTCTTGCCTTTCTAACTTCAAGATAATAAAGTGACAGATGTAACAAGACGAAACAGACAAGAGAGGGAGACTCGACCCTGTGTGAAGTTTCAGTTCAGAAACAGCTCAGAGGAACCAACAGAGTTCTTCTTCCTTTATACTTTTGAGAAAATACCAAAATCTGTGCCTTTTCACTTTTACTTGAATAAAGAAGTTGAAACAGTACGTCTTATTATACTACTCAAGTATCTGTACTTCTACTTGAGTAAAGATTGTGTGTAGTTTAGGCTCTTCTGAATACTGGTTAACACTGATTCCAGCTGTCTGCGGTGGTCCACTGAAGAAGAAGATATACTTTAGTATACGTGATGTAAGATGATTTGTTAAGTTTGGGATTTGCATCGTTCAGTACAAACTTCTTCAACCAAGACTTTTTATTTCAGTGCAGTTTGGGTGCATGAGCTTCAAGCATTTTTCCAGCAAGCAAGTTATCAGATGGAACTTTCTGTAAATCTGTCTGCATATTTTTACTGATATGATCAAGGAGGTACTGCAGGGGAAGGAAGCAGATAAAGAGAGAGAGACCACCTCAGATAGGATTGTGTATACACCATCTGCATACGCCCTCCTAACTGCCTCCTCTTTGTCCACTTTGAACTAATTGTTAGGCAGTGAGTATATAAAAACGTGTGTGCAGCTCTATCAAACTGTTCATCAGCCATGGACAGAACTGTGCTGCTGGTCCTGTTGAGTCTGCAGGTTTTCCTGCTCATCACAACCTTCACTTCTACTGATGCAGCCACTCTGGTGACAGATGATCAACAACAACCGAATCCTCTGGTAAGAAGACCCGCTGCTGGTTCTTGATTTAAACTGCGTTTTCTGATGCAATGTTTAGGTCTTAATGTCAATCCTGTTTTTACTGAGAAAGACAAAACACAATGCTTTTGTTCTGTTTGTAGTTTGAGGTCACATAGATCAGTGGTCCTCAAAACCTGGGGGTCTGGATCGCCACCAGGGGGCGCCAGAGCTTTACTATTGGTCCGAGGCTATATCCGAGATTATAATAACTGTTTTACTATATTATCATTCATTATCTGTTTATACGACAGCCTCCCCTAATGGTAACCTGACTGCACCAGATGTTTGTTACACAGAACCATCTTCGGAAGTCGTTGTCGAACCATATAATGTAGTCAGATTCTTACCAAAGTCAGTCTGATATAACTCAAATATATATATCTCTCACCTGATCTCGCAAGTCCATGGGTGTTCACAGGAATTTAGGAGTTATAGTTGCTGACAAATACATTAATAAACACAACCACATTATATTGTGTTATAATCCATTTTTTTTTTAAAATTATATACTGTGTGTAAATACTAAATAGGGGGGCGTTAAGTGTCACTGCATCAGTTATCCTCATTTTCTAACAGGCCGAAGAAGGAACTGTGCACCACAGACAACTGAATGGAAAAAAAGGACCAAACTGTAGTTGGAAAAAAGGACGATGTAGACCAAATCCTCCGGTAAGACTAAATTCTGCTTTACCTTATTTAACCTACATTATGAAAAACAACTTTGACTAACAAAGACTACGCCAATGAACGTATGGAATTTAGAAAGGTTTATTGCACGTAATGAATAAATGTAAACCAATGTGGTGTACTGTAGGAGGGATGAATGGATCGGGAAAGGGTTGAGGGATAAAGGGATGAGGGATGAAGGGATGAAGGGATGAGAGTTCAGGGATGAGAGTTCAGGGATGAGAGTTCAGGGATGAGAGTTCAGGGATGAAGGTTGAGGTATAAAGGGGTATCGGAAGGAAGGGTGGGGGATGAACAAATGGAAGAAGGGTGGGTTTGTTGGGGGATGGAAGAATGGACGAAGAGGTCCGGCGAGATGGTAAAAGGGAACTGAATGGGTTGTGAGACTTTGAGTGGGGGAGCCGTCTCTTTGTATCTCTTGTAGAGAGCCCCCAAAAAGACTTTGGTTCGACTCGTAAGCATTTTCGATATGGTTTAGGTCGTTACGAATGTACATGAGATATGCTCGAGAAGACCATCTGACGAAGAGTTTAGTGACGTTATCTGGGATTCCCTGCCTGGAAGCATCGGAGGTGGCTCGGATGCAGAGGGAACACCCCGAGTATGGCTCTGGGGACATTCCTGATTTGGATGGGATTTGCCGGAAGTGACCAAACCGATTTCGTGTAGGTACAATAATTCTAACGATGGAACAGGCGAATGGGATGAAGCTGACAGGTGCAAGGACGACGAGCGGAAAAAAAAAACGGCGACCAGATTGTCCATCTTGGGAGTCAGTGAAGGCGGTGGCTGAAGACGGTGGGACTGAAGAAGCTGTGAAGGTGCATATTGTGGTGGGATGGGATGGGGTGCCGCAAATCCCATTAGGAACACAAGGAGGAGACAGAGGAAACAGATTTTTTCAGGGATTACTCTCATGTTCTACTGTCAAGATATAGTGAAGGTTTCAACAAATATAACAAAAAAGTTTTTTTGATAAAAGTTACCTACTGCAGCTTTAATGTTTATTTACCTGTGTGTACAACAGCTGCCTCTGAGATTCTCTTTTTGTATTTTACAGACGTCACAGCGCGAAAAGAAACCAAATCCACAAAACCATCGTCCCAAGTAAGAGCTTCTCTCTCATGTGAACACAAATACAGGGTTTGATTTTTTTCAGGAAGGAAATGAATATACGATGAGTTCATATGTTGGATTTGTTTTTGTTCCACAGATATCGAGCAGGACACCAGGCTGTTATTTTATTACCATGATAAAAATGTGAACTATTGTGTAAGTAAACCAATCGTGAACTCAAATACAAGACTCACCTGTGCACTCAAAGCCACAGGAGTTCATAGCTTATTGCCATTTCATTTACAATATTTTCTATTTATTTTCCACTGCTGGATATATTTATCCTCCCCTTCAGTGACTTTTCTGCTTTGTTTCTGTCAGCGATCAGAGGAAGAAGGATGAAGATCTGAGAACTGAGGACGACATGAAAACTTGCATACTTTATTCAAACAAACTGTTTATTGTAAGAGATTTATTTTGTTGACTGCATGAAGTTTGCATTGTATACTTACATATATACAAATATATATACATACACACCATGCTAAAATGCTAGTAGGGCCAGTAGTAAAGATCACTCTCTCCTGTGCTGTATCATGTGATAACAATGCATTTTTTCTTATGGTTAGTCTATTATATAAAACATTATGAGTGGTTATAAATCAGTGGAACCAGTTTTTTGCCACAGTGCTCTGTTTTTACACATCAAATAAAAAAGCCACTGAAAAAATATTGAAAAGTAAGCCGTTTCTATTTTAAGTGTTTATCCATCATTTGTCTGAGGTTGTGACATGAAGAGGATCTCCTATTTCAAAATGTTGTGTTTCAGTTTTGTACTTACATGTTGCATATGACTAATGTGCGTAGGTTTTCATCTTGCACAGATGAGATTGGTTGAGTTGAGTTCAACTTTGGTGAACACAGAAATTTACACCATTCATCAAAAGTTGTCTCAGCTGTTTGCTAACTGACAGCTAGCAAGCTCTAAAACTTTCTAATTACACTTCAGTTTATACACGTTTTAAACAAATTAGATGTAATGTGCTCATTATTGAGCTTTAAAGGTTTTGTTTCTTAATTTTAGAGAGAGCCTGGCTATTTTCCCCTTACTTACAGTCTTTATGCTAAAATAAGCTAATCTCCTGGCTCCAGATTCACATTTAAAGGAACAGTTTGACCTTTTGGGGGAATTATTAATTTTTTCGCTGAGAGTTAGATTAGAAGATCAATTCTACTCTTGTGTGTGTACTGTAGGCCTAAATATAAAATGACAGCCAGCAAGCAGTTTGAAAACATTATGTAAGGGAGGCCACCAGCTATTAGTTGCCCTCAGGCCCCCCTAGTAAGTTAATGCCACCTTAGATTAATTTCTTAAACATGTTTTTCTTTATTGTGTCTGTTATATAAACAGCATCCATAGCTTTGTTAATCATACATGTATGTTTCTTACACTGATGATGAAGCTCTTTCCAGTTAGTCTGAATTCAAATTATCACCAGCAGAAGAATAACACAGATACTAATATAAACTTGAAAGTTCTGCACTTTTCTGTGCACATGCATCAAATTGTCTCTGTTGATCAGAGGATGCAGCTTGTTGACCTCTGAAAGAACACAGAACACAAGAAGGAAGCTATTTTTTTTTTAAAGAAACGTGTCTCTGCCAAATCTTGGTGGATTAAAATCGAAAGGTAATCTTCCACATTCCTCATGGTTTTAGCCGCCAGAGGGTTTCTTAAGATGGGTGTGGATGTAAAATTAAATTACAGTGAAGACAGCACAGGTCTGTGCAACAAATCCTTCACTACTGAGTAATGACTTTAATATTTCATATTTATTATTAGCTTAACATCATCAGTGTCTTCAAAGTTTGCCACAGTGCAAGCTGAACTTTAGGTAACTGGTCATGAGTGATGACTTATTGTTTGTGTCATCTGCTTTTGACTCAGTGTTCAATGTTCGTGCATGTTTAAAAAACAACAAAAAAAATGAAAAAATCACCTCAGACGGATGGTTTACTTGTGACTTGGTTTCTGTCTGTTGTCACTTCTTTCTTTCTCTCTCTCTCTGAGTCATCCTTCTTAGAAGAGTGTTTATAGTGTGTGGAGCTATAAGACTCAGCCGGATTTCAAACTGGACTGATTCCCGACTCTAGCCAGAGAAACCAAGCACTGACTGACGGTAAGTCTGGTTTCTGAACTGATTATTGGGCGTATTCACATTACAGACAGGAGTCAAATCCTATAATCCTTTAATATGGTGACATTTACAAGGTATGTGTGATTTCATATTTGATTGAATGTTTGTTTTAGGGCACCTGTCAATCTAGTATTCCCAGTAGATTTAAATTTAAACAAATAACAAGGGGAAAAGACTATTTGACCCTCATCTGGTGAGTATTTTTCCAGAATAGGTTTTATTATGTGCTGTATGTAGGCATCTGTTATGTTACAAATGATCAAAGCTTGAACTAGTATATTTTACAGGAGGAAAAAAAAGAAACTTTCCAGAAGAAAAAAGGAAAATGTTTTAAACTTCAAAGGCTCAGTCTTCCTCCTTTTATTGTGTCAGGTTGATTTTCTTGCTAAAGTGCATCTGTTCTCTTATTGTGCTGCTACCACAGTCCAGATGAGAGAAGATCTGAGTGGATATAAATGCTGATATACACATCTGAGTGTTTGGTTATTACCTCAAAGCAATGAACTTAACTAGCAGTGACTGCTTTCTCCTATTGATAATGTTGTTTGGTCTGTATACGACCTGTTACAGTGTAGAAATACTATAAAATCTTAATTGAAGTAGCAACAAGGAGCTTTCATTTTGTGTTGAATCTGGCGGCCCCTGTGGACAAAAGGGTTTCTACTGCCTCGTTTCATTGATTTCAAGGTGAATCCGACCCAACAGGCATTAAATTAACTCTATAGAAACAGACAGTCTTCTCTCTGATGGTCTTGTGTGTTTACGTTGGTCATATAGAGGCATCAGTAATAAACTGAAACTGTTTCATAACCAAAATTTCTCGTAGTAGCTTAAAGTAAAAGTAAAAAAGTGTTAGCATCGAAATCAACATAGAATACAAACAAAAGAAAAAAAAAAGAAGTTATAATGCAGTACGGCCTAAAGTCTTATCTTTATAATAATACATAATTATTTATTTATTGACTATGTTTTGTATTATTAATATGAACCTGCCTACAGTACAGTAACCTACTTGAGTAAATACAGGCCCACTTAAGGTTAATATTGTTGTAAAAATAAATGTTGAGTATTCTTTGTGGTAATGACACAAATACACGTTAGACTTCAGGAAGGAAAATTAAGATGTTTTCAGGGTGAGTGCGTTATACAGATGTTTTACATTTTACCATTTTTTCCTTGATTGGGTCCAGTGGTGGAAGGTAACTAACTACATGGAGTCAAATACTGTATTTAAGTAAAAGTTTGAGGTACTTTACTTGAGTCTTTATTCTTTACTACATTTGAGACAGTAATATGTTACTTTCTACTTAACTAGACGTATTTGACAGCTTTTACTACTTTACAAATAAAGATCTTTACACACAAACTTTATGAAGAGCTTGTAAAATGTGTTTTACCATACATTAGATACATTATAGCAGGACATACACGTTTTGGACACTTTGGGGTAATTATGACAGCATTTCTCTCTATTTTCTGAAGTTTTACAAACCAAACAATTAATCGATTAATGGAGAAAACAATCAGCAAATGAATCCATAACGAAAATAGTCATTAGTTTCAGTTCTATACAATAGGCGAGCTACATATCAACCAACTACAACAGTACAATCCTGCTTTTACATGAATGCATGAGTAATTATAATCAAATTATATAAGCTTTAACACTCATAGGTGTCCTTTTTTAAGCATTAAATGTTTGTTTTCTAGTAATAAATCTTTGTACTTCCTTGCTGCAGAGTCAGAATAACCTCTCAGTAAAAGGTCTCAATCAAATGGAAATGTTCCCTTGAGGCAATCATAGTTTTTCCGTGGTATTTAGGCTCTCTCTTTTTTGCAAATACTAAGTCTAACAGTATCTCCGCACTGAGCTCAGTCTGATAAAGCATGTTGGGGTTTTTTTTTACTGTCCACCCACTTGTTCTGCGCGGGTGTAAAAATCAAACGCACCCTCTCAGCCCGACCCTGCACACAGCACGTAGTCAGGAGTCAAAAAGGAGCTTTGCAGCTTCTGTGGCGCCACTAACCGGGACAGGTAGGTGGATAAAACACCCTCAGTGTCTATCAAACATTGCGCAGATACAGTGTAACCTTTAATCTGTCTTTTTTAGTAACGTACAGTGAGATTCTTCACAATGTTACAGCAACTGTGCGCTAACTTTGTGTCAGTGCAGGATTTAACCCACTGACATGTAGGCAGGGAACCAGATGTGAAGGTGAGGAATGATGTGGGAATAATGTGGGAATTTAAGAAGAATTTATACTGTTGGTATTTGCGTATGCATTCTGTTATTTGAGAATACGATCATTAGTGGTGGAGGAAGTATTCAGATACTAAAACCGTCAATGTGGGGCAGTAACTCATTATTATTAATAATATTACAGTAATTATTTTACTGTTCAGTAACTAGTGGTGTAACTCATTACTAATAAATTTCAAGAATAATATTACAGTTACCCCCAAGAAACCTAGTTATAACATCACTTTTGTTGCCCCTCTACTAGTATTATTATATATTATTATAATTATCTAATATCCTGCAATCACATCTTTGGATTAATGTTTGTAATCATGGAGGAAACTAGTTTGGAAGAAGCAAATACTGACGTTCAGCAGCTGGAAATCTTCCCATTACTTTTAACAAATAAACCTGGAAGTAAGTCTGCGTTTTGGGGAGAAGGGACACAATTACATTACAATTAGTTTTGTAGGGCAAGTAGCAGAAAAGTAATCTAAGTTGTAGTGTAACTAATTACTGTTGGCAAGGAGTATTAAATAAAGTAATAACATTACTTTTGAAAAGAGTACCACATTTTGAAAATGTTACTTAAGTAAAAGTATGTAATTCTAATCAGGAAAATGTAGCTTATAGTATTAAAAGTATTAAGTGTATAAAAATGTCTATTATACTATTATATATCACATCAATATGCAATATTGCTTGTGCATTAAAGGTCCAGTGTTTAACATTTAGGAGGCTCTATTGTCAGAAATGGAATATAATATAAATAGGTTTGTTTACATTTGTGTATACTCACCTGAATATAGGAATCGTTGTGTTTTTGTTACCTTAGAATGAGCTGTTCATATCATTGACAATATATTTAATGGACAGAGCTTCCGGGTCTGTGAAGTGAAACCAGTGTGGAAATGTCTTAAACCTGCGTTCTGTGTAAAGCCCAGCAGGGGGCGCTCCACTAGCTGCAATAACACACCGATATCATACAGTCTTATGGAGAAATTACCTGACTTCTCACTTGATTCATGAGCTCAGTAAAGCTCAGTAGTGGTCTCTATCTCTGGTTTCAAGTTCTCTTCCATACAGCATGATGTTCATTTAGTAAATGATGGTCCAATTTAAAGTAAAATAGCCAATAATGCCGTGTATGCTTTAGAGCGTGGCTACCTTATAATTGACAGGTCATTCTCTGTGAGTTCTTCCAGCTCAGCACACTAATCACACTAGACACTGTCAAACTAGGCAGTGCTGATCAAATATAAATCAAGATTCTGTTACTGTGTTGACCAATTTCTCACCTAAAATCGTTTCAGAAACATATTTATATGTATACTGCTTAGCTGTAATATGAGATCAGGCAAGCCGCCATTGTTTCCTGCTACAGACGAGTCGAAACTGCGCAGCCATTGAGAGCAGCTGAACTCGCAATACGTCACTCCGCTGGCTCCAACAATGTTGTAGTTGTTGAACAGCCAGAACAGACAAAACAAACACTGGCTGTAGGATCCTTTGCCTTTTTGGGGAGTTTGGCAGCCACCGTAGTTTCTCCTACACACTTCACAGCCCGTTCTCATTCCCAGGTCATCAAATACAGACTAAAACTAAATGCTACACACTGGTCCTTTAAAGGTCAAAGCAGGTGGTTCTCACTACTTTAAAAATAAATGATTCCATATGTGGGAGGTGTCCTTCATCCTCAGAGTGTTTATTTATACAGAGGAGGAATTTCAGCAGGGCAATCTTCAGGGAACTTTGATAGTTTATACTATCTGCACTAAACGGTATCTTTCTCTGCCCTTTGCACTTATCACACAGCAGAGAGGCAGAGTAAACATATTTATCTCAGTGAAGGTACAACAGGGAGCAACAGTTCAGGTTAAGACACTGTTCAGATGTCCACACAGGATGTTGACATTGATGTTATCGCAGCACAGTAATAAGCCTACGATCAGAAAATTATTTGCATACGTTCTCCTTTAAATGTTTTTGCCCAAACTAGAGGTTTATTTTTTCCCCACAAAGAGCATTTTCGTGTTTTGGAGCACGTCTAGTTACAGTGCAGCTGTAAATCTAAAGACAGCTCATATATGAAAGCTCTGTAATGAGAGTATTAAATCCAGACACAGCTGCTCATGATATCTGGTAATTTTACATTTGTTGTTCCTCTTTGATTAAAGATATTTTCTCTGCCAACAAACTTTAAATGTGAACATATTGTTGCTCCAACTGAGTTTGTAATGATTAAAGACACAGTGAGATGGAAAATACATTTTCCAGGTTCTGTGTTTGTGTTCATTCTTCATCTCTTACATGTTAAATATGTTTACTTTTGATGACTCTTATTAAACATAAATATGTCTAATCAAATGTGATTTGGTGGTGAGAAGGCGTTATGTTACTGTGTCAGAAACAACTGAGACAGACTTTGCTGTTGGAAAAACCCGCATTAATCTTCTTTTCAACTTAATTAGTTGACTCCGTCTTTATCCTTCTGGTGGGTGCATGCAAAGTAAATCCTTCGAACCGCAGGTTATTTTTCTGCTCCAGCAAAGTCAAAACCGGCTGTTCCCAAGAGATTTGTGTTGGGTCCCTCGGGATCCCAATCCCAATGCAGTCCTCTACTGTGTAGCTCGGTATTGTCAGTTTTTTCACAATCCTATCACAGATACCGTATCTCATTTAATGTCACATTACAGAAGCTAAATATGCCATTTCACTGTGACTTTTAAGTGCAGTACCTGAGTAAATGTACTTAGTTACTTTCCACGACTATGTACGTTGTTAAAGCCCACAGCCAATTAATTAAAAATGTCCTCCTTCACAGTTTCACCTGATAATCATGGATGTCTCAGGGGAGGACTACTTTTACCATGAAAACATCAGCTTCAACTTCAGCTATGAGGACTACCCCGCCCTCTGTGAGAAAGGTGACGTCCGTTCCTTCGCAGCCGGCTTCCTCCCTATCATGTATTCTGTGTGTCTGGTGGTGGGACTGGCAGGAAACGCCTTAGTCGTGGCTGTGTACGCCTACCACAAACGCCTCAAGACCATGACGGACACCTTCCTGACCCACCTGGCTGTGGCCGACCTGCTCCTGCTCTTCACGCTGCCTTTCTGGGCTGCCGATGCGGCGAAGGGCTGGCAGCTGGGTGAGTTCGTCTGTAAGATTGTGTCAGCCTGCTACACAGTCAACTTCACCTGCTGCATGCTGCTGCTGGCCTGCATCAGCCTTGATCGTTACTTAGCATTAGCCAGGGCCCAAGGTAGAGACCAGACAGGGTGGCTGCAGAGGATATTCACCAGGAGACACTGTTGGAAGATGTGTTTAGTTGTTTGGGCGACAGCGGTTATCCTCGGTCTTCCTGATTTGATACTCTCAGAGGTGAGATGGGCGTCTAACAGGAGCGTCTGTCTGGCTATCTACCCTCCATCAATGGCTGGAGGGGGGAAAGCTGTGCTGGAGATGACAGAGGTGCTGCTGGGATTCCTGCTTCCTCTCCTGGTTATGGTGATCTGTTACTGGAGTGTGGGTCGCGCACTGAGGGGCCTCCCTGTTGAGAGCAGAGGCAAGAAGTGGAAAGCTCTACGAGTTCTCCTGATAGTAGTGGGGGTGTTTGTGGTCACTCAACTGCCTTATAACGTACTGAAGGTCTATCGAGCGATGGACTCGGTCTACGTCTTAGTGACCCACTGTGGGACGAGTAAAGTGTTGGATCAGGCGGCTCAGGTGACTGAGAGCTTGGCCCTCACTCACTGCTGCCTCAACCCCATCCTCTATGCTTTCATGGGGTCCTCCTTCAGGCAGCACATGATGAAAGTGGCCAAGAAGTTTGGCGAGAAGAGAAGACAGAGGAGGGAAAATCCTGCAGAGGAGGAAGGGGTGGACATGTCATTTAACTCCCACAACGTATCCCAAGACACAAACACATTCTCAGTGTGAACCAGCGCCAGTGCGTCATACTAACAAACTGTACGAAACTTATTTAGTAGTATTTAGTAGAAGAGCTGATAAAAGTACTATGGGATGTCTGTTTTTGAGAACACAGCAGCTGTAGGAGCGTGTGTGGAAATCATTAAGTTGAATTTCACAGATGTTTTAACACTAAATTCCCTGCACACCAAAAACAGGAGGTTATTATAGTAGTATTTCCCCTCCTCCAGTTAATTAAAAAACTTGTTTAATCAAAATATACTCTTTCATATGTCTCTGCATATACTGTCAATCAAAAACAAAAAACAGTGTTTTATCAGGTTTTATACCCTGGTCTCGAAGAAGTAATATTTCATTGTAACAGTAGAGTATAGTAGACATGACAGTAAACCCTTTGAACTTGAAATGAAACAACACTAAGAGTGTAGAGCCGTGCCAGCAGCTCTGGGAGACAGCTGCTGTGCTTTGAGCTAAATGCTAATGCTCACAGTGTATGATGTTTACGGTGTTTACCACCATCTTAGGTTTGTGTGTGAGCATGGTAGCATTTATTAATTAGCACTAAACACAAAGTAGAGCAGAGGCTGATGGGAATGTTGTTTTGCAGTTTATAAGTAGACCGACCGACTGTAACTCATCCTGTGGGAGACATGAATGTGACTCACAGCAGCCATTTTGACATGAAATAAGGTAAACACAGGTGTTACCAGGGTTACTAATCAGGGTTTCATTACATTTAGTGTAGCAGGGTCTTTCCAGTGAGCCAACCACATCAAAAACACCCTTCGCAAGACAGCTCACAAGCTTAAATGTTGTTTACATATGAGGGAACCGATATTTCTCCGGAATTTCACAGGAAACATTCAACACCAGCTGCCCACACGGTACAAAGTACAGATAAGATTAATGTTTGAACTTGATACTCCTCATTATACATGATACAGTGAAATAGAAGTGAAACTATGAAAGAGCTGAAATGTCTGGAGAACAACGAACTGCTTGTTTAAAATAATGCTTGCTTAAAGTGTACTGTACTCAACTTAAGTAAATACTAATTACTTAAGATGTGTAGGAATTTGTAGTTCATCTGCTATAAACCAGGTGCACGACACATGCCCGCACTGCTCTTTTAATATTGTTTTAGTCGAACTATGTACTTTCTGATCATGTATTTTATTACTTTATTGCTCAAAATACCCCTTTATTTCTTGAAAATAAAAAGATAACACATATCAAACCATCCAGCGGAGAGTTTTCTTGCACTTGTAATGTGTTGCTTGCAGAGTCTTATGCCAAGTCTTTATCCAGTGGGATTTACCTCCCTTTTATCAGGACAAGCTACAGCTTTGTTGTTTCCTGAATTCCTCAAAACATCTGAGACACATTTACTGCACACATTCATTTTATTTATTAGCAGGTAGCAAAGTCTGCACAACAGATTGAAAAGCAACTTCTTGTAGCCTTTTTAAGAGGTGATGATATATCTCTTGATAGTTGGCAATTGGATTTATGTTATTTTATTATGATGATTTTTCCCTTTGTAAATTAGTTACATCGCCTTACTCAAAAGGCTATTTGTACAGCACCATTCAATGTCAGGGCAGTTCAAAGTGCTTTAGAGAAGAGGGAAATTGTAAGATATGCAGAACAGAAATAGGTTTCTGTTTTATTTTTGTTCAACTGGAGGACATTTTGTCCAAACATTGATTTGTTGCACTAAGTGCTTGTATGGGACCATAGTCACCTGGTGATATTGTTACATAAATCTGTGTGTCGTCTGGATATATTGTGTTGTTGTATAACGAAATAATGTAGTGGTAACATGTAGATGTTGAACGTAAGAGGCCCAAGAATGGAGTCTTGAGGAACTCCATGTCAGTTTTGTGCGCTCAGATGTGTAATTACCGATCACAACAAAGTAGTCTCTGTCCTTCAAATAGGATTCAAACCAATTCAACACAGAGTCAAACACAGTTTTTCAGTCTGCTGAGTAATATTTTGTGGTCGACCATGATGAATGCAGCACAGATTTAATAATACCAAGACTGAAACGTTTCCACTGTCTGAGTTTAAGTCTCAATCCTGAGGGGAAAAAAATCAAAATAATAGTTTAAAGCGGTTGAAAAACAATGATTTTATTTAAAAATTGAGGTCTGATATATAGGACTGGTTCTTTTTAAGAGTAGATTAGTATTATTTGCAGAAGCTCCAATGCCATGCAGTTAAAAACATTTCTGAAAAAGCCTGTAAGTAGAATATTAAGGCAGAGGAGAATTTGGGATGTTTCACAATTATTGCCAATGTTTTATAGCTGTGAAGAATAAGTCAAATTCCTTGCATGACTTTGTGGATAAAAGTTCAAGGACCACTGGAGGGCTTCGTCAGAGTGTCAACAGTATCGAATAAAAACAGTCTCCATTGTAAATTAGACACAAACACAGCACTACATAGTTTAAATGTTTTGCATTTTTGTCCCTCAGACAAAATGTAAACGCATTGAGTTAATTGCCTGATGGTAATTCAGGAAGTTCCTCATAGATTAGAAAAAATAAAAACATTTTTATTTGACTGTTTCTTCACTTGTCTTGCTGCCCTGCCAGCTGGTACAAATCAAGTGGTTTATTAAGTGATGCTGCAGGTCATGCTCTGGACCGTGTGCTGACTCATGTGGAAACCATTTGAGGTTTGCCATCTGTTAAATGAAGCAAAACATTTTACTAAGCCAAAAAAATTTCAAAAATGCCTTAAACCTGAGAGAAGCGGTTAGATAATGTGTGATTAACACAGCCTTCTTTGCTGTTTTAGACATCCTTGACAACTCTCAAACAAACAGGTCTTACATAACGTGAGTTGAAGTAATCTGTGATTTGCTTTTGTATTTTTACATTAAACTATGGTCATTACTTGTCAGAAATGAAGTGTGTAAATCCAGATTAAATCCATTTATTGAAAAACTTTCAAAAATGTGCAAATAAACAACAAAATGTAACAAAAACATGACTTCTTGTAATCAAAGAAAACTATAAATATACAAAAATGCCATTTAAGGCTCTTAACATCTGATATTACCAATCAGAAATATGGCTAATTCACTTTTTAAATTACGATTAAGGCAGTCAACCAGCTTCAGTTTCAACAAACTTGAACCAAGATTTTCTTTCTAAAAATTAAGTAAAAAATATGAATTATTCAAATATATAACTGTAAGACTTTTTAAAAAGAAAACAATAACTCAAGAGGCCTAAAACGGCAGTGTCACAATAATTTAGAAAAGAAAACATTCTGGCATTTTCACATGAGAACAAGGTTACAAAACGCAACCAAACCATTCACTCATTAAATACAATATGCCATTTTATGAAATATAACTATGGAATTTGTTATGTTTTTACACAATATTCTTTCTATGTGAAGAAAGTTACTTTCTTACATACCCTGAACTAATCATCAACCCTGTATCAAATGTTAGAAAGAAGCCAATACTGAATTATTACTGAGTTACTGTGAATCAGCTCACATTCCCAACTGTTCACATAGAAAGTAAAGCAGTTTTTTCAAGTCTCATGCTTTCCACTGGATGTGGAAAAATACAAAAGATACATACATGCAAAAGTGCAGTAGGAGGCTGAAGGATTTGTGTTCCGGCTTACTTCCATTCAGGTACCTCATTTCTCTGAAATGTTGTAGTATTTACCCAGTAAACCACTAAAAACCTGATGGGCACATAAATATCTTATTGTAAAGTAATTCAGGCACTTTTTGTTTTGTGTTGGCTGAGAGCATAGGCTGTATATAAAGGTGGACTATGTGACATCTTGATCGCCCCCTTGTGGCTGGCTGCAGTACAGGTCATAAACTCTGCCCTCTCTATGTTAGCAGATGTTAGCAGAACAAAAAAATCAAAATAGACGTAAGATGGTTTCTGTCACTTTAGGTTGTTCTCATGGCGCTGATGTGTGTCTTTTTTTTAAGTTTGGTTTTAATTATCATTATTATTATTTTTATTTATTTAATAAAAAGGGACGGGCCGGGTGGGACCTTGATTTCAGATCCAACCCCGATCTCTACTGCACAAACACTCTCCCAATGACTTCAGCAGAGCAAGACGGCAGCGCTCGTATCTGGGATATTTTTAGTAGTAGTGGAGACACATCATCCATCTTTATATATGTCAAAAGGCTAAGATCAAAAGGCCAGTATAATACAGTGAAGTTGTCTGGCAGACATCTGTGAAGTCTAATGTGTGTCAAGGTTTTTCTTTTGAAGATGAAAGTTTAAATATCAGCTGTTATTGTAACAAAAATGGGAAATGGTATCTTTGAAGCGTCTTAAGAGGCAAAAAGTGCTTCCCGAGTTTGTATAAGCGTACAGCAGAGGGGCTGTTAGCCGTCAGTAATTGAGGATCTGCACATCAAACAGGTCACACACTCCCTCGTTGTCGTCAAGGTTGAAGCTGTAGTCTATGCCTGCATGAAGAGAGAAGAACAGGAGAGAAAATACTGTAAAACATGAACAGACATGACATAGATAGACTAGGTATAGATCTTTAGCCGTGCTAGCAGCAGAGCATTAGGTTTGACAACATCAGTCAGGTCAACTACTTTTTAAAAACTATTTAATGGATTGCCATAAAATTTGGAGCAGATACCTGGTGCTCAGAGGATGGACTGATATATCTTTTAGCACCACCAGAAGTTTTCACTTACCCTGGGAAATATCTCAGCATCTTTTAAATGGATCACCATAATTTCTTTTCAGTACATTTTATGGTTCCCAGACCTTGAAAGTTACTGAATTCGGTGATTAGCAGAGTATAATCTCATAGAGCAGCTAGCACGGCTGTAGACTGTTAGTTTTGTTGATCATATTTTCAAATATACAGTAACTGCAAATATTTGTGGACAGAGTTTTTCAAGTATAAAGTTAGTTAAGCCAGGTGTTGAGATGCTTACCATCAGTAGACATTAGCTCATCAATCAGGTCAACAGCTCCTACAAGAGAATTAAATATGTTTCTCTTACACACAGTATAGTGAACCATTCACTGTTATATAGATCATGTAACCTCAATGCATAACCACCAAAACTGAATGAAATAGTATATTAAAAATATCAGTCAGCTGTTTTCTTAAAACCTTCACGGAACCATAACTGAAACAAATGTGAAGCAAACCAGCAAGCTTTACTGCTAGATGTAATTACACAATAAACTGCGTTCAGTGCGACTCTGTTCACATCCCTGTGTCTTACCCTCTCTGTCGTCCTTCATGACGTCTCCAGCAGCGTTGAGCTTCAGCAAGCTGCTCACGTCCAGCACAGACTGGAACTCTGGGCCCGCCAGGTCCATCTGCTGCTGCTCCAACACTGCTGCTGACTGACAGTGACACTCTGCAGGGAGCGTGGGACAGACAATACTCTTAAATTAAACCGGCAACATGACAGGATGCAAGTATCTGGACCAAGGATTAGAAGAACACAGCAGGAGTTTTTAAAAGAAGAGCTGAATCCCATTGTGCACCCTCTACACTGAGCTGTCGCAGTCATGCTGTCATGCCTACTACACTGTGAAGACAGTGCTGGGCAGCAAGGGGAACTCAGCAGTGCCCATGAGTTGGACTGGTACCTCTCCAGCTACCAGTCCACTCTCCTTTACTGTGGTTTGTGTTTAACTTGAACCGGCCACCCTCCTGTTACCAAGCCAAGTCCCCACAGACTGAGCTACTGCTGCCCTACTTGAGCCCTCAAGCGTTTCCATGGAATTGAAATTCCTGTCACTGCAACTCAATTCAAAGTGTTTTTTTCTGAACAGATGGTATACTTGTGGCAGCTAATGAATGATTTGTTTTGCAGAATACAACAAACCCATGTTATTCAGCCTGTCTATATTCTGTATGTTCAGTATCGAACCTTACTCCATCAATAAACTTATACGATAAATACAATATTTTTTATTTTACATCGTCACATCCATATCACTATGGTTTATGTGTAATTTCCAGCTTCCAGCAGCTAGTTATCCTAGCTTAGCATAAAGACTGTTTCCATTATTGTGCCGTTTAGTAATATGTACTAAACTGTTGTGTTAGTTCCTCTTTTTTTTCTGGAAGGAAGGTCAGACTGGATTTAACTTTAACAATGTGAAAGCATATTATCCAATATTATTTCACACTTAGAGCTGGAAATGACTCATTGATGTCTTACAAAACCTAGATCCCGATAAGGAAGTTGTTTTTCACACATCCTGGCAATCTCCCACACAAGAAAATTCAAGGTTTAGTCTGTTCTCTACGAAACTGGGCAATGTGGGGTGTCGTGAGAGTTATACTGCACATACAAGATGTCTCTTCCACAACATCTGTTACAGTGGGACAAATGTGACAGTTCCTTTTATTGTCTATGCAAGTAAATTACAGTTCTCTTGTTCTGGGATCACTTTGTTTTCTTTACAATTATGTCTCAAAACCATGTTGAGATCAAACCACAGATTTGAATGCTTCAAATTCTGGGTCTCCTGCAATTGGCTTAACTAGGCTGAATTACTCCACATAAATATAAACAAGAACCTTGTGGTCTGTCTCAACACAACGATTAACACCAGAGCTGTTTCTACAAATCTTACTTGTTCCCACGCTGCCAAATTATTCTTAGTATTCAATACAGGAGAAATAAGACCGAACATTTACAAGTTAAGGTTGATGAAGAGGTTTTTACTGTTCGTCATTCAGTTCCTCAGAGGGGAAGAACTGCGTTTACAAAGTCAAATGTCAAATGTCTTGGAATTTGTCACAGGGTTGCTTTTGTATCCATATAATTTCTTGTCTTATGTTAGTAATGAAAATAGTCACTCAATCGTCTGCGTTTGCGTATTTTAGATAATGTCTTACAACTGACTACTTTTAGATTTTTTCTTATGGGCCTACAAGCATTGGTTGTGGTTTATTATAACTGCACAATGAGATAAGTAAACCATTATAACTGACTTAGTACACACACTGACTATTTGGTATTATAGATGTAAGCAGTGACTTTTTTTAAAGACGATTCCTGTCCTTGCATGTCATGTGTCATCTGACATCTGAGTCAGCTGACAGACAGCAAACCTTTCAAAGCAATGATCAACTTCTCACTGTT